AATACCTTAATCAAGAAGATATGGACACAAAAAGACGTATTTATCCCTTTTTCCTCTTTTCTTCCCTTTCCCCTTCCTTTTCTTCATCCCCTTCTTAGTTACTAAAAATTAACCAGAAATCCCTCATGAGTGTAATGACTTTAATTGGAGACAGATTAATTTGTACATCATAACCATGTTCATAAAGTGCAACACAGAAAAAAAGCTCAAACAATCCAGCTTTTCTCTTCCTCCTTAAATACTTAGACTTGTATTCACAACCCAATATGAAAATATTTCCCCTCGTGGAACACATTACACGTTAATTTAAAGCAAAATAACATACAGTACAGGATGTGAAACTCTTCACCTTCATCTAGTGCACATTTCAGCCAGGATCTTTTTCATCACGCAGGACTTATTAGACATGTGCAGCAGGGTTTCAATAATTACCTGTGTGTTTGGGGGGGGGGGGAGATTCAGAACACTTGATGTCTTTAAAGGGACTGTGTGAGATTCCAGCTGAGTAAATTGCATCAACCTGTAGAAGAAACCCTGGAATACATGACATGAAGCCCAAGAACTGTGTACATGTAGCTGGAGATGAACTCAAAGCACACCTCCAAAAATAAAATACATAAAGAACATAAACAAATGTATGTTTCATTGTCAAATTTCCCCATTTCCTTTTCAAAAACTTAAACATTTTAAATATTTCTACACCATTTATCACAATTTTGCTGGCAATTCAGTCCCTTAACATTATTATTTATTACCCTGTAAATAACATTGGCTGTTGTGATCTCTTTGTATAAACCTGCACTTGTATTATCTATGGCAGCTTAACACTTTAATGCTGTGTCTGATTTCAGATAACTTTGGTTTTGTAAAATTAGCGCTTCTGAGTGTAAAATATTTCATTCAAATCTTCAACACATGTCCACATAACTCTACTGGGTCAAGTTTAACAGGAGTTTGAGTATTTGGGTTTTGGCTGAGCTGCAAAGATGGAAATCACTCCGTATCAAAGCTAACGTCTGATGTCTAAACCTTAAAGGAATAGCACCAACATTATGGGAAATATTCAGTCTTTTGTGCAGTAAACATAAAGCCACAGCCAGTTAGCTTTAGCACAAAAAATTGAAGGATGGGGAAAAAGGCCAGCCTGGGTCTGTCAAAGTTTTAATAATACACCTACCAGCACCTCTAAAGGTCAATAATAAACACATTTTATTGTTTGTTTAATCATTACAAAAACCGAAGTGTAAAGCAGAGCTGGGATAGCCGTTTCCCCTGGTTTCCAAACTTTAAGGTAAACTAAGCTAACAGCTGTGGTAATTTCATATTTAGTGTACAAATAGAGTGGTATCAATCTTCTTATCTAAATTTTGGCAAGAAAACTAATTGGTATGTTTTCCAAAACTATTCTTTTTACCTTTTGTCCAGAGATTTTATTTGATTTTGATTTGATGATATTTTGATTTTACTTTATTTGGCTTTGTCAAAAATAACTAAATAAATAAAATAAAGAATTAGCATCTCTGTGCTAAAGGTTTTTTTGGACTACTGATTTATGTATTGTATGCACAAAATAAATCATAATCCTACAAGTGCTGTTTTATTAAATAATTTCTTCGACTCTAACCCTCAGTCCTTTAAGTCTTCAACCAATCTGGTAATTTATTTTTTTACAAAGAAAAACACTAACACACACATACAGCAGAGCAAATTTAACCACCACACAATAAGCCTAAAAATACAACATCCACAGCTCTTTTTTTTTACATTTCCAAACAGCTTTCAAGCATTCGAAGCAAAAACACCTTTAAACAATCTTAACTTAAACTAATGAGGTCAACTGATAGTCATTGCTTCCAACTAGGAGGTTCTGTATATATTCATACATTTGTGAAAGGAATAAAACACATTTTCACATTGTTACACACTGTTTTTTTCCAGTTTAAGTTTGGAATGACCTCACTGTTAATGTACATACTCTTACACATCCTTCAGGAGTATCCCCACACCTGACCACTTTGAAGAAGCACAAAACAGATAACAGGGGAACAAAATGATATGAACACATACGAGCTTTGCTGAAGGGATTCAACTCAACTTAGCTATATCACATTTGAAATCCTTAAATTTTCCCATCTAATTCAACTAAATACAGAGATCTGTGTCACGTGTGGTGAGAACGACTGATCACAATGTTAGGAAAGTCTTAATTTTCTCCTTAAGTCCTCAGTATGCTTCAAACTAAGAGTTTATTGGATCATCTGAGGTTGCTAGATCCTTAATAAGGAACTCCCAAAGGAAACTAATAAGATGGGCCCTCAGAACACCAGTTTAACGTATTTTCATTGTCTCATGTATCACAGAAAACCCCTAAACTTACATGCTGAAGTACATGCGTTTTTGCGTAGACCTACACATGGTAATGTGTAGACCGCACCACAGTTGGCCTAGAACCAGACTGAGACTATAAGGATGGACGACACGCCCATGTCCAATCTGTTAACATGACCCATACTGCAACCAGCCACCAGGGGGCGCGAGAGTTCATTGCCATCTATCTTCGCACTGGCCATAAAAAAGAAAATCTAACAAGGCAATTACACTACAGTTTGTTTAAAATGAACCAGATATGATGAAAGCAATCAAAATGTGTCTAACATCTTTCTAATGACAGAACCGGAGTCCAACAGTCTTTGTAACAGAGTACTACACACTACGTCGATTGAAGCATACTGAGACCTTTATTCTGACCAGGAAGTTGAGGGAACACAGAGAATCTTTATTGTGAAAGCCAGCTAACATGTTCAACACAACAAACATGTCCAGAGAAGATGCCTGAAAGTCAGGACAACAATGTGTGAAAGAAGAAATAGTCTGTATTTTAAAAAAAGTACATGTTGAAGGAATGGTCCCTGTGTCCCCTGAGCTTTAAGTGCAAACATTATCTCCAAAGTTTATAGGGGAATGTTTTCCTGCTGTCAGTAGTTATCTACTCATCCACAGCAGTTTATCAGACAGCGGTGTGTGGAAACGCTGTAAATACTCCAGTGATATGGACATAAGTTATAAAACAATAACTATAATAATAATGCAGTCATGCCATGTTTCAAGATACTTGAACCTCAATGAGTGCAGATCACTTGGTATCAAGCTGTAAGGTTCATGATATACTTGCTTTTACCAACATTAATGTGTAGACAAGTGGCTCCAACACAAGCACAATTTTTCACACTTTGAACAGGAGTGAATGTAATTCTATATCACCAAATTAATATGTAACATGAGTAAGTGGATTTTCCACTATCTATTCAGAAACTGTTGAAAGATCAATTATGGTAATGATGGAATGGGAATGGCTGCTTTTAGCTAATCCAGTGACATAAAAACGTAACAAATTAAGGTATTTTCTTACTACTTAGGATCACATTCATTCATAATTAATACAAAACACCTAATATTGTCTCAGGACAGTCCTGCTCATTGGTCAGCAACAATTCATATTCATAACAACGCAATACGCCATAAGACTTTAAATTGACCCATGGGCTATAAGTAGATGTTAGGGTTAGATGTTAGATGATTGTTTCACAGCAGTTACGTTCTAAAGCACCCTCGCACAATCCTGCAGAAGGTGCGCACTGCTGGGTTTTTTGCAGAAGCTGGACTGTCTGCTGTGCCTTTTATAGAGTCCCGACTTCAGACCCTGTGCATTACCAAAAGGTTGACACCCAAAAACACCCAGCAACAGGCAGAGGGCTGCAGGGTCTCTGCAGATACAGACACCACCACACAATTCTAGCAGGTCAGTGATGATTGAGAGGGATTTTTATTTTCTTAGGAAAATCTTACCTAGGATTAATGAATTACATTTGAAAATGATTTTAATGAACCAACCCGAAGCTTTCTGTAACAAATGACTTAAACCCTCTCTTAAGTGGGCCTACAGTTCTGCCACCCAGGCCATTTATTACCTGATTCAGACTGGCAGAACTCTATGGCAGATTAGGTCCAATTTCTCCTTGGCCAAAGCAGGAAAATCTTTCAAAATGTGTATTTTGCACAGTGTAAACATAACCTAACATAGCAACACTATATATATTTACTGAGTTTTGACATGATGAAAGAAAAAGCAACAACAAGCTCTATTTGCTTCTGTTCATAGAACTACATCTTTGTTATTGTTTGTTCACTGTGACTCTGACCATCCTGCTCATGACGCTCCAAAGGAACCATCACACTCACACAAAGATGGAGTTAAAAGCAAGTACATCAGTGCTCTGAGCCGGTAGGTGATTGGCAAAAGCACACCATATATTCACTGTGGATTTTCAGTCTGTGACTAGCATGTGAACACACGGTCTGATTAAATGGTTCGGTACCACAGTGACCTGTGATGTGGATCTCCTCACTACTGTTTTCAGTGCAGATGTGGATACTTGATATTATCTTCTATAACTATCTGCTTTGTACTTCACCACTGTCCCGCTAAAGGGCAAACAAGAGGGTGCTATGTGTAGCATTTTAACGCTAAGAAGTCAAAAACCTATTTTGATGTGGGTACATCTGCTAGCTACTAAGCTGCATCTGACATTCACTGTAAAATCTGTTAGATTACAGCGTGGAAGTAGAATTTTTTTGTATTTGAAAGGAACACAACTTCACACTGACATACTGTGCCACATTAAAAATGTATTTGCGGTTACTTTTATATATCTCCTTACCTTTCAAAACAAATGTAGCAATGCCCTCTTTGCAGGCTGCAGTGAGGCTCATGGGATATGTGGTCTTAATGTAGGGCAAATGCTAAATGCTACACATAGCTCATTTAGGAGGGTGTGTCTTTCTTAATCTCTCTTAACTTCTTATGCAAGATCAAGGCCAAAGCTTAAAGTAATACTACAGACAGTGGGTGTTTGATAGTCTAGTCCCAGAGAGTTTGATGGAATGTCTCCTTGTATGGTCAAAGAGAAGATTCATTTCCATCCTACTGGACCTATCAGAGTGCAGAGGGAGGAAGGTAAAAAGGCAGATGAGCAGAAATTAATTTATCTCTTTCAGGCTGTCCTCCTCTTCTTTCTTTAAACATATCTTCTTGTGTTTCATCTCCTTCTCTCTCCTTTTTCCCTCTTCCTTCACTTCTTCCTCTCTCTCCCATCAGTAGCGTGTTGAGTACCAGTCATTGTCGGTCATCTGTACGAGCTCGTTGACCACATCCAGCAGATTGTAGTTGTATTTGTTCAGCAGCCGCTGGTTCAGTGGCCGGTCCCCGAAACCCATCTCCACCAGCACGGCCATCATGGTGTCCTGGGTGGACGCGTCCACAGGAGGCTGAACAGGAACAAGATCTCATCAATCCAAAAAGACCTACTACTGATCATATAAACCCAAATGTCCTAGCAACGAGCAGATGGTAGTGGTACAGCAACAGTGTAAGGAATAGATTATCCTCTTGAACTCTGCTAGGACGCCTACGTCTTTGGCTGACACTACTGTTTTTCACAGGCTGTAGCAGTTTTGAAGCTAGAGTAAAGACCAACTGCATCCATTGTGCCAATGGAACCACGTCATGCTGCCTTGCTGGGAAGGCTAAAAGCTAAATATGGCTCCAGGTTAAGGCTAAATTCTGGCGATGGAAAAACAGGCATGGCCATTTTCATAGGGGTCCCCTGACCTCTGACCTCAAGGTATCTGAATTAAAACAGAAATGCTTGCCATCCAATCACCGAAGAATGCAAGTTGTTCCTCAAGGTCTTGGTGTCTTAATCTGATGTAAATATATTTTCAAGTGGTCAAAAATAGTAAGATTTGCATCAAATCTGTGTAACAAATAGTATCAACCCAAAAATGGCTTATGAGACATACTGGGGATGGTCATCACATACTTCTATCACAATGTTCTGAGCCCTTATACCTACATTTGAAGATGAAGGTATGAAGATTACAGATGAATGACACTCAGTGCTGAGCTGCAATTCAGTTATCATCTGCAGGTTACCAGCTTTCAGATGATCTACACCACTTCTATGTGGCATATACTGTTGATTTGGATGGTTTGGAGGTGTAGACAGTGTGTTTATCTGCTCTGGTGTAAGCTGCAAATGCTAGCATGTCTGGCTAACTGGCTTACTACCTACAGTAGCAACCTATGCCAACATTACAAGCTGCATTATTTTGTGGGGTTACAGTTTATGTAAAAAGAACTATTTTATCATAGGCTAATGATCGCAGCTCTGTTTATACTACACAGGGATACTGACCTTTGAGATATAGTTTGCCACAGTGCCCCAAAAAATATACGTTCATTCATTAATTTATTTGCAACTTAGAACCATGATCACATGGTACGGAGCAAAAACAGATTATACAGTAACCATACCACACAGCATGGCTAAAGCACAACTAATATGACTGTAAGTGTAAGTGCAGTGCATTCCTTGTTATAAACACACCTTATCCATAATTTAAAGCAACAGGAAAAGATATCGGAAAACTATCGGATCAACTGATTGAAGGACTATCGGGACATCCCTGATTTTTATACTTTAAGAGTGTTGTAAACGCTTTAGAAAATTGGATTGCCCGATATTAACTGCTTGCTGACCTGTGTGGGGCCTTGTCCAGTGAACAGGGCTTTGTAGGCAGAAGCAGCTACTGACAGAGCTCCTTTCATCAGGCCGCTGGTGATGCCTGGGTGCCTGAGGAGACACAATAGAGGTTACGTTCAAAATGTGACTGTGACGTGGCCATGGCTACATCTCCAACTCAGAATTTCTATGGAAGTAATGATGTATTAAATTAGAAACTTTTCACTTGTGGCAGGGAATAATACCAACCCCATCATAACCTCCTTTACTTGAGGTCATGTGGTCATTACAGTAGATAATATTTTGCTTTATATTCACTTCACATCCAAACAGAACCTTTTAGATATGACTCCCACAAAATTAGTATTAGTCTAATTCAAATTATACTTGTAAATGATAACTGGTTACTGAAGTCCATGGATGACCATCCATTCAGTCCAATAACATTTTGAAAGTTTAGAAGCCCTAACCCTAACCTGCCCGATTGATGCAGGGCTAAACTGGAAGTTAGGTAATTTCTTTACGACGGGAAGTGGCTTTTTTGGCTTCATGCGCCACTGAGCAGCTTTCATAGGACGCCTCCAATGCAGTATCCAGTTCTCTTTATACATCCATGTAGCTCAACCAGCCACAGTAGTTTACCAACTAGCCACCACCAAGCTTTTACAACAAAATATTGTGCGAAGATGAATTATGCTGGTGTAACCAGGTCTTTATGCAACAGAACAACACAGTTACATTTAAACTGAGTGAGATGGTTTTATTAATTAGTGCGCCTTGATGCAGCTAGTTATTCAAACGGTTGATACTGTGTTATTCACATTACTTGGTACATGATCTTCATTAACAGTGTTTTGTTTTACACATTAAACACATTAAGGCACACATGCTAGTTTGAGAGTGTGTGTCAATGTGTGTGTGTGACCTGGGGTCATCAGGGTTGTCCTCAGTGTCTTCAGTAGCTTCGGTCTCATCTGTCTGAGTTGGTTCAGGACCAGAGGCTGTGGGACAACAAAACATCACATGATCCTCGACTCCATCACACATCTACCCAGTATTCACATCTATAGCTCTTAACATCTAATAAACATCACTGTGCCTTAATAACAGAGCTGCTATTCCACTGGTGGTGACATAGCGATGTGCTTACCATCCTCAGTTTGGTACAGTTCAGAGCCGTCTGCTCCTTCCCCGGCAGCAGCAGGGTCAACATCTGTTTCTCCACTGCTCTCTGGACTGTACAACAGTATCACAGCTCTCATCAACCAGCAGTTATAAATGCCAAATAAAGACTATTTAATAGTTGACATGTTTCAGCATAATGCATATTTCCACAGCATCAGCAACACAGCATCATGTGTGACCAAATTCAACAGTTCTTGTCCTCATTATTTACTTTGACACAGAAACATGGGAAAATAAGGTGGAAAAATACAGAAATTACCCTTAAAGCAACTAATAAGCTCAACACTTCCTGCTAATGTTTCACATTAAAAAACATTTTCAGTACATTCATGCTGCTGTGTTTGTATTCCACCCTTCACACTGACCTGGGTGTGATGACGGCTGTGGGCGGTGCCACCACTTCAGGCGTCAGCGGCTCATCGTCAAGTGTCTGAGACGTACACAGCATGTCGTTGGCGCTGCTGGTGCCTGACACCCCCGTCTCTGGAGCTGCCGCGGCTTCATCTGCCTCGCCCAGCTCCCCCTCTGGGGTGCAACTGCCCGAGTGGTCAAGAGATGATGTTTCTGGGTCTGTGGGGGTCTTCGCTGGGATGTCTCCAGGCTGGGACAGAGCAGAGCTGCAATGGAAGAATGAATGGAGGATTAAGGAAGTGTGACAACGCACACCGTTTGGCAGCCATATTGGATCTACTGAATCTAAGCTACATTGGTCTTATGTAGAATTTATTATTTTGTCTATTGTACAACCATTTTTTTGCCACCACCACAGATTTCCATTGGAGCCAACACGTACCTGTACATGGACTCCCCCAGTGGCCGACTGGTGTCAAAGCAGTCAGGGAGGATGATGATGTAATCCTCAGAGGAGGTGGAGGAGGAGCGACTCCTCACCCCTTCTCTCTTCTCCTCTCCCTCTTTCTCCTTGTCCTCCTCTGGCTTCTTCTCTCTCTCCATATTGGATTCTTCACTTTCATCTGTGTTGGGATCAAGAAAATTGATACGTTTCACGAACGATAGAGGGCAGATTTTCAAAGCTTGTGATTGGAGCCCAGAGCAAAAAGGAAGGGTAAATTTCTTGAAAAGTTTTGAACTCTTTGGACAACATTATTGGTATAAAATATTGTTTAAATGGCTAATTGGCATTTTTAAATACATGATCCACTGCTTCAGTCATACTACACTGGACTATGAGCCATTAAAAATAGTTCAATAATGTTTATCTTCCCCAAATCTCATGCTAATCCTGTTTTAGCAACTATGTGCTGGAACTTTTTCTTGATGATTAACCCAGGTTGCCAGATACGGTCAGTGAACACAGGTTTTGGTCTCTGCACCAAACCCGACCTCAACCCGATCTCAACCTGATCTCACTGAGATAACTAGAAGGAATCTACGCACCGTCACTGCTCCCAGCTGTTATTCGCCAACAAATAGTTCCAGCCCCTTAAACCACAAATTCTCATTTTTTACATTTCTGTTTGTGTACAGATCAAACAAACAATATGCAAAACGCTTGCTTTGCATCATTGTCTCATCGTCCACTTCAGAGAGCATATTTTTCTCATATGAACTCCAGACCTGTCCGCAGATATGACTATATGATTAAGGAGGAAAAACATCGTGCCTTAGGCCTGTACTGTAGTTCAACATACCCAGGATGCCTTTCAGTTATCAGGCTTCACTAACCCTAACATCCGCGATCTCGCTAAGCGGTCACGTGAAGGTGGTCAGCAACTCAGTAAGTTTTCCCAATCACGCCATGAGCGAGTTCACATAAACGGGGGCAGGGTTTACAGAATATGACCAATCACATACAAGTCTACTGCCAGAAGACTGAAGAGCATGCTATAGGAAGAAGCATCAGTTGCAGTTGCCAAATGCAGGAGGGAAAGCTGGCATAAAATCAAAGACTGTGTAAATGTGTAAATTAACAGGCTTATAATATCACTGCTCTATAATTAGAGGAGACTATAATTACATTTGTGTATTGTATTAAAACAAACTGCAGCTTAGATGTCTGTACCTTTTCCACATTAACATTTACTGAAATGTCACCCATATTACCTGCACCCTGAAAAAGGTGCAGCAGTGCATGACCAGTTTCTGTAATGAAACAAATGCAACTTAAAGTTTTAATAAATAAATAAATATTAATAATATTAAACTTAATTTGTATACTAAAATATATGCTCATAATAAACATTTTAAATAAACCACTTATATTAACGACTGCGACAGGCGGCCTGGACCTGGATTAAGTACAACAAGTAAAAGACATTACTGCTTCAATCATGATAAGACCAGTCAGTCCCCCTAGCAAGAATCTATAGCTCATATAAAGCACTCAGATTAAGCCAAAGGGCTTTGCTGGTCTCTGAACAATCCTTCCCTCCTAAGAGACTATCTTTTTATCCACAGGATCAATACTTAATACATCCACGAGATCTTTTATGAATGGTGATCTAATTTTTAGAGTATTGATTGGTCAGTGGGAAGTGCTTTTGTAGAGTTGCTTATCTTAAACATAACCTGCACCGGATCAAATCTTGGTTTGTAGTACAGGCTCCTGGACAGGTAAAGGTTACCATTTAGGTTATTTACAGAGGGCAATGCTGCTTTGAGTAAAACATATGCAGGTTTGTCAGTTTATGTCAGAATCAATAGGGCTGATCAACTTGAAAACACAATATGTTGGCCAACTACAATTCAAAGTTCTTTTCCACGTCTTTAAACAATAAAGCTTTTCCCTTTTTATTGATTCTGTTGCCCTGGACTAAATGTCAATACAACAACAGTGATGGAGAAGCATCCCATATCTTAAGTCTCCCTGTGATCTGTGTATGCATAGTGTTTTATCAATCAGGTGTGTGAAGTTTCAAGATCACAGAGCTTGTGTATGAAGATTTGCAAGCCCATGCAATAAAGCAGAGTTGGGACAAAGACCAACAAGTCCCAAGCCAAGTCCATGTCCCTCACTTTGTGTTTCATGTCCTAACAAGTAATCATGTTCCTTGACCAAACTGAACACATTTAGATGTAAATAATACATGTTTTTTGATTCTACATCTGTGATAATGGTTAAACTGAAGTAAAACTCAAACATTTAATCCAGATCTAGAATTTCTTTTTGTTGAGAATGCAGAAACAGTTTAGTGTTGCAGACTAAATATTGGTCACAACCCACAGTTTCACACAGAGACCGACATGCACTAACATGTGCCACGTGCCACCAGAGAAGCTGTATAGACAATGCTCGGGGACCAATACACACAGACATCATTCTCTCTTTTAAGTTGAGTCGCAAGTCTTTTGTCAAGTTGAGTCAAGTCATCATCCACACCTCTGCAATAAACTATCAATGCAATATCATGTGCTCGCATAGCCACTCAACCACTGTCACCTGTGGTTGCGTGCTCCTGCAGCGTGGAGGCCCTGGGCGGAGCGTGAAGCGGGGTCGGTGCTGAGCTAGGGCCGGGCCCGGCGATCGGGGCCACAGACAGGGGAGCAGGCAGAGAGGCTTTCAGCGGGGGAGGGAGTGAAGCTTTCAGGGTAGCCGGTGGTTTCAGGGAGTTTTTAGAGCTGCTGGGGCTGCTATCTGGGCTCTCCTCTATGTTCACTGTTTTACTCTTCACACAGGAGGAGGAGGAGGAGGAAGAGGAGGAGGAGGAGGAGGAGCCGCCCTGAGCAGCCGGACGCACCACTGAGAGCAGACAGGAAGTCCACGGTTAGAGATTGTACTGTATTTCTTTCTTTTTCAATAACATGCAAACACATTCAAGTGCAGGCAGTAAAAATGCTGCTCAGGCTGAACACACAAACCTATATGTCCTGACATTGGTTTGGGAGAATATTTCATTATTTCACAAAGACAAAGGCACCATTTCCTTGGATGTATTTGCTGAGATATATGAGCAATCATTGTATTTTACTGGCCTGCTGGACTGGATAGCTTGATTGAATCGGATATATAGTTCAGATGGTAGACAGTGTATTTAGAGACCTTTAAGGTGAAAAAACGTCTGTTAGATCTAAACAGGGGTTTACTCTTTTGTAATGATACATTTCATGGACTTTTCAAGGACAAATCTTTTCAAAATTAAATACTAATAATTCATGTAGATGTTCACATTTAACAGCCTAACCCGGCAGAGCACTAGGCAAAGGCCGGGCATTACCCGGGAATAGGGGGGGAAATACTTGTATTTCATTAGGATGAAACAGATTAATATAGGCCCCAGTACACAGCTTTTTGTATTATGACTTTTTTTAAACAATAATTATGCAAATTAGGTGATGTCTATTAAATATGGACTAGTTTGTATATGAACCCTTTTATGGCCAAGTCAGAAGTGTTTTTCCTCTGGGAAGAGGAAAAGAAGAATGTGGGATACTGAAGTCAGTGGTTTCCAACCTTTTTCCTCAAAGGGCCCCTTTTCTATCACTGAATGAACTAAGTGACAAATTTTATGGATATTTCATATTATAGCTGTGAATATAGCTTGTGTTCAGGTCTTCAAAGTGCATATCTTAAATAATAATCTGAACTTTAAAAATAACAGTTTACTTTTACTTTTCTTCAAAGAAATGAACAAAATGCTGCGATAAAGGCCTAGCTATTTTTTACACCCCTTACAATCAAGAATGGCACGCGACCCTAATGGGGGATCATTTTTAGAACAAATATTTTTTCTTCTTTCTACATACTGAATGCGAGGTGGTTTATTAACTTTCTCTGCTCTTTTGTTTATCATTTAAAAACCCAGAAATCAAAGACTGGAATCACAATTCAATGTACATACTGCTGACTGACCTTTACCTGTTCCTGGGCGGGACCCTCTCAGAGGGGTGTGGTCAGGGGCCTCCTCCAGGGTCATTGAGCGAATCACAGTCTCGCAAACAAACTGAGTCCCACTGATGTCATCCTCCCCTTCTTCCTGAGCGGGGACTCCGCCCCCTTCTGCTCCTGATCCCGCCCCATGAGGAACGTCTGAGGACCAGAAAGAGGTGAACAAATGTTACGTACAGACCAGGGGCCTCACTCATCAGTGTGTGTGCAGATTTCTGCATATGTACACTGAGAACCACTGCTGATTCCATTCATTTACCAACCTATAAACTAAATCGCCATCAAGTACCTTAAAAAAGTATGACTAGGAAACTACATTACCCATGATGCTGTTGATAACCTCAGTCTCTTCCTGGATGAGACCCAAAGAGGGACTGCTCTTGTCCTGCAGGTGGCCATCTTGAGGCAGAGGGGACATGCAAGGGGTCATGTCTGACAGAGAAAAGACGATAGAGACGGGAACTTACTGAAACAGCTGTTGAATGTGTGTCAGTGGAGCATTTCATAGTCCCAGAGTCTGTTTTCCACTCACAGCATGAAGCTCTCAATGTTCCTGAACCAACCCACAACAACTAGAACTCTTCTTACCAGCAGGGGTGTTGTTTGGGACACTCTCCAACTCTTGGACGATGTTGATGTCCAACAGCTCAAAGGACAGGAGATCCTGAGAGAGCAGCAACAACAGACAGCTGATTAAAGATGCATGAGCTGGATCATGGGAAATGTGGGAGGCAGTGTTTTTGGAGTTTGCTAGTGATTAAAAGTCAGGGTAACTCTGTCTGCCTCTGCTGCTTTGATTGTGACTGCTCTTTTCTTTTTTTTCTTTTTTTAAATGTGCCTCCTGTCATTTCCCCACCTTTATGGAAGTGCACACTAAATTACTGGATATATATCCTTTTAAGTCATTTATCAAGAATCAAGGATTTACTGCCTTTCTTTGTTTTATATCAGTGTAAGCTGTGTAAGTCTTGTAAGTCGTGTAAATTTTGGACTGTTGGTTAGTCGACCAACATGTCTGACATTTTAAAGACAACATGATTAATCAGTTAATCACAACACATAAAAACAGATTAAAGATGAGTCATCAAACATATTATTATGTTTTACAGGAAGAGGGTTTTTGATATATAAATAAAAACCTAAAACTAAAACCCACATTAGCACGTTACCCTGTGTCAGAACTTAGCACGTTATCTTATTGCGGAGACTGCCCTGCATGTGCCTCACAATAAATACATTTTAATGTGAAGGCAGTTGCCGGCCATTACTTTGAAAGAGCACATGCTGAAACATTGACTTTCACTGCTAACGCTGACTGTACACACAGTATACTCAGCAGTATATAAAGCCTTTAGCAGCTACAACATTGAAGTGCTGAACCCATTAATGTATTAATAATTATAATCCAATAGTATAATATACATTAATCTGAAATCACCGATTCTGCATAATGATTTTTTTTTACGTTTGGTAAATTAAAGGTGCAGTGTGTAACATTTAGGAGGACCTATTGGCAGAAATGGAATATAGCATTCATCGGTAGGTTTTCATTAGTGTATAATCAAGTGTCAATGATCGGATCTTCGTTTCTACTTTGCATTCTTTCTGGCCAATGTTTTGGCCATCTAGTGGCTATTTTCCACTAAAACAACTTTCCTGCAGACGTATTTCTGTGCAAAAGAAAAGTATATTATATAAATAATAATTATTGATTTCGAAACTTTATTCCCATTACGGCACAGTCAATAGTTATCTTGTGTAGGCTTTGTGAGGACGTGGATGACCCACACTTTGTTAAGATCGAGTTGGTGCAAATGAATTATGTTAATGCAACACTAACCAGTTACTTTGCCACACTTGTTTCATCAAAGTCACTAACTAATTAATTGAAAAATTTTACATAAAGTAAAATTACTTACAACCAAATGCATGGCCACTGATTTAAAAACACACAAACAGGACAATACAGCAGTCAGCAGCTACTGGATGTTCCTGTTCCACATAACCAATGATCTACATCTACATTTGCAACTGAAACGCCCCAGTGCAGCTGCAATCAGACTCTACAGTCTACAGAGGGGGCAGGTCACCTTCCATGGAGTCCGCCATGTTGAACCAGCATTTTTCTACTGTAACCCAGAAAGGACAAACTAAACACTGACCCTAGATGGGGCGTTGCACGTTTTGGGGCGTTCTGCGGCGAAACATAGTTTCTCCTTTGTGTTTGGAAGGGGAGGGTGAAGCGAGGGAGTTGCACTGTTGCAACTACACCACTAACTGCTACTAAATCCTACACACTGGTCTTTTAAATATATTTAGTTAATAATACGTCTGTACTTCTACCGAGTGAAATGTGCTTCTAGTTAGGAGGTGATCATTTTGGGATACACATATCTTCATCTGATTTGAAATCAGTACGGGGGAGAAAAAGATAGTGGGTCAGTGTATTTTGTGGCCAACAGATTTTCATTTTGAAATAAGAAATCTCAGTACAAAAAATGGGAAACGGCTCATTTTTTCATTTCAAAACAAAAATCCATTGGCACAAGTACACTGACTTTGATGCATCCCTGGAAAATAAACCTTTGTTGCAGCCTTAGTGCGCAGTGTACAGCAGTGTAATGATTATTACCTGTGCAGTGAGCAGGTCCACAGAGGGGATGTAGTATTCTTCTTGGTCCACTGACATTAATGGTTGCTCCCTAGAAGTCGCACAGGCTTTTCCATCCTTTGCCACTGGGTTCTTACCCTGCACACAACATCAAATCATTTCAGTTAGATCCTATATCCCATATCAGAATCCTCTGTGTGTGTGTGTGTTTATATATTAGTGTATATTTTAGTTGATTTATTCACACATTTAGTCACACCATTGCTTCTACCTGCGGTGTGACACAGGGTGACACTAGTATCCCATCAGCCATCATTGGTGCTGGGGCCAGAGGATCGACCACAATGCTGCACCAGACCCTGGGTCCAAACTGCTCTCCGGCGTGGGCCAGACGCCAGTGGGAGGTGTAGGAGCCCTCCACAGTGGGAGCACACAGCGCTACGCTCACTATACCAACCTGACACACAGAAAGAATCATCAGCAGTGCAAATGACAGAACAGTAAGGTGCTGACCATATCTGTGTGACTCGGTGACTCAAAGGGAAAATAAGAAGGATGAGCTAGCTGACAAGTTCAGTACCTTTCCAACGATAAGTGAAAGTGAAAACCTCCCTCGTGTCGCAGTCTCACCTGTCCTGGCTGGAGGAAGGGAACAGACACTTCTCTCCAACGGTCCCCAGATCCCACCGCCAGGTTTCCCCACATGAACTTCAGCTGCAGGAAGCAAACAGGGAAAAATCTGATTAATAGTTGTAGCTTATTTAACCACAGTATACCGTATTTAATGTTAATACACAAGTGGTGTCACAAAGAATTATCAATAACTTTGCACCTTTCAGCTCATTGTGTTGGTTTTACTGTCTGCAACTTTACTGCTTTGATTCTCTCTGATAAACCCAGCGCACACTAACTGCTCAGCACAAACAGTAGACAGACACTATCTGGTAAGGTTAAATAATAGAGCTAAAAGGAGAGTGAATATTGGAACAACAGGGTGTTTACTAAGACTACAGATATATATGAGCCAAGCCACAGTTTATCTGATATGCATTAACTGCCCCTAAGAAAGACCTGATGCTAGACTGTTTGGAGCGCAAGCTTAATGGAGCACCAACGGCACTGTTCTTTGCTGCTGAGCTTGGAATAGTTGTTAAAGGAAATACATTTTCTGGCAGCCAGATGTTATCAGCTCAACAAAAACATGCTCAGTACCGATCGAGAACCCGCATAGAAATGGCAGCAGTACATATAAAGTTTATGAGTTGAAGCACAAGCGAGCCTTTCAGTTATCCTGGAAACAGCAGTTTAGTTGGGTGGTGTTAGAGGATGTAGACGAAACTCCAAAACTGTATTACGCAGTTTTGCTCCCAAGAAGATACATTTAAATGAAAAAAGAGTTATTTACCTTAGTATCAGCACTCCAGCTGATTGTTCCAGTGTTCCTCATCTTCCAGTACTTGATAAACTTGGTCCCCGGACGCAGTCGGGTTCCATCAGGAAGGTTCTCATCCAGAAATGCAGCTGTCATGGCTGGAACCACCAGGGGACAAGGTCGCTTTGGACGCCTGGGAAAGATAGAAATAGTCCTACATAAGTCCTTTTGTCCTGCAGCCATCTTGTGTTTTTCTTTCAAAGGTGTTTTTACCAATTTCAGATCAGGTTTGATCAACTGTTGCACCTCCCAGCAGATTTAAATGATTATATCTTTGAAATGAGCTTCTGGCATTACCTATAACAGTGGTTCCCAACCTTGTTGTCAGTTGTGCCCACACAGCCCTATCAGATGAACTCAAGTACCTCCACCACCATTTTTCAACCATTTATCAATGTTACTTTTAGCAATTTATTTAAGCTTTTTATGTATTATTTGGATCTATTTCACCAATTTAAAGGGTAACTTTAGTACTTTTCAACCTGGAACCTATTTCCCAATGTTTTTGTGTCTAAGTAACTAATGTGGACAACGATTTTTGAAACTGGTTCAGTATTGAGCGAGAGCTCTGCCGCTGCAAACTGGCTCTCATGTAATGGTCAACTGTTCACTGTCAGTGTAAGTCCATTAAATGTGGTTGTTTTTGCTGCAGACAGGCTCAGATTGTTACTCTAAGTGTCTGACAGCATTATGGATCCTACAGAACCTTTTTGTTGTTAACCAGAAACAGCAGTTATATTGCTGAGTTCGAAGCCACCAGACTCCATTAAGAAAAACTGTAATTTTTCCTTTGTTACATCGTAACACTTGACTCAAACTTGACAGAAACAAAAGCTTTTCATTGAAAAAACAATTCTGTGGTTTGGTTCAGGTTGAAAAAGACTGAAGTAAACTTAAAGCTAGCGTTATTAAATGTTTATCCATTAATTTTAGCTATCCATTTTTACTATTTATTTGTTTCCACTTACTTTCTCTAGTATGTACTCCGACATAAATACTTTGGACTATGTCTTTCTTTTCTTTTGGTAACTTACTCAGGGCTGCTGTGCTGGGTGGCTCGAGGCTGCAAAAGGACAGGGGAGGAGCTTCCATCTCTGTGGGAGGAACTCCACTGTATGCCCCGCCTCTCCATCCTCAGCTGTTTCCGGATCTCTTTGACCTCTGCCTTCAGCAGGCGCTTCTCTGCTTTCAGACGCTGCTTCTCCGCCTTCCGGAAACTGCGGTCCCCTCGCCTGTAGAACCTGAAAGAGAGCCAGAGTGTGCCTAACATAACTCCTTTAAAACATAAACTGTTCAATCACTACAACCTCCCTCCACCTAGCCTCAAAGTCCAGTCTCTAAACACTTCACTCAATAGTGACTCCTGGCTTTCTTTGCTAAAACTGGGTGGAAACAAATAGAGGTGGAAAAAACCTGCATTGTAGAGCCAATCCAAAATCTTTAGGGTGGTGACACGGCATTGTTCGAAATATCCATTTTCAATGTTTTTAATAAACAATAATAAGGGTAAGGGTGCTCCAATCAGGAGTTTTTGGGCCGATCACTGGAAGCAGAATCAGCTGATACCGATCACCAGGTCTATTTCAAGTCTTCTGGTTATTGTGTACCCTAATTTAATACCCTAATTAGTACACTAATTTGTCTTTAACAACTTAAACTAAAATTAAAGGTCCAGTGTGTAAGATTTAGGAGGAAGTATTGGCAGAAATGAAACCAACCTGAAGTTGTAAATCTTATTGCTTATGTGTTAAATGAAGTAAGTCTTAAATATGGTAATGATTTATTATGTTAAAACTTTTGTTCCCCTTCATGTCAAAACACAGACAAATGAAGGTTTGTTAGAAAAGTAAATTGCTCTGGCTTTTCTTAAATATTATATATAATATATAAAAAAATAGAAAATATTTCACATTAAAAAATATAAGAAATGAAAGCAGTCTTGAAGTAGTTCTAAAAACTAAATTGTGGTGTCGTACCTGCTGTGGTCTGGGGCGGGCGATCCGTGCTCCGGGATAGACAGAGGAGTCCTGGCTCTCACCAGGTTGTGACTGGGATCGTGAGAGAAACTGCAGGGTTCGCACAGAGTACAGGAGGTACACACACTGAGCAGAGAGGAGAGGGTGAAGAGAGATAGAAAATCACAGAGAGAAAGCGAAAGAGAGAGAGAGAGAGGTGAAAGGATGGGTAATTCCAACTGAAGAACTGACATCATGATTTATAAATACAAAATCTAAATTTGAACCCTTTAGAGTCCACAACACCGTCCACTGTGACAAGCTGAGGACTGTTTGTGACTGTGAAATTCGACATGTTTCTATGTAGCAGAGACACTCCTCTTCTCAAAAAGTAGATTTCAGTTTCCCAGTGTGCCTAACAGACTTGGTACAGCTTGTAAAATGTCAGTATTACGCATATGTAATTGATACTAGAGATATACTAGACTATCTGTATTGGAATTAGTAAAAAATGGGTAAAAAGAATGATTTTTTTTTTTTAAATATAATAAAAATGCTTCAGTGGACTATAAGGTTAAAGGAATAGCTCATCATTTTGGGGAAATTTGCTTTCCGAGTGTGAGATGAGGGGAACTCCTCCAACTTTCCCAATCAAAGTGTTTCCAGCAGTTGGGTAGCCTTTAGTGTCTCCCGAGGGAGCTGTTTGAAGTATTATACATGTCCTCAAGTGATGGCACTTCAGTCTGTGCAATGTTTTATAAAATATACTATATATTTTGGGTCTTTTATTGCCTTTAATGGATAGTGACAGGAAAGAGGGGAGATAGAGAGGGGTTACACGCCATTAAAAGGGCCACAGGTCGGAGTCGAACCGCTGCAGCAAGGACTCAGCCTTGGTACACATGGGGCGCAACCTCTAACAGGTGAGCTGCCAGGACACCCCCATTAGGTTAAGTGTAGGATGAGGAGCAATCAACTTATTTAAAAGTTCTATTGAAGATAGCACTTCAAATAATAGCTCCTGTCAGTGACACTCAACAGGTCCTGCAGATGTTTCACATTAAAAGCCTACAAGCAAAATGAGGCATTATCACCAGATGTGGGACAAAGTCATTGTTTGGCAAGTCACAAGTAAGTCTCAGGTCAGTCCCAAGTCCTTAACTTTGAGTTTTGAGTCCTTAACAAGTCATGATGTGTTATTAGTACATCTGTTAAAACAAGTGCTGAACTTAATCATAAGGCTGCCAAGATGCTCCATAGCATATAACACTATTAACCAGTAACACAACAGAATTCATTTTGTATGTTTCTGTCCTGTCTTGTTGTATTTAGTTGATTTGGGAAATGAAGTGAATCGTGTTAGACTTTTTAAATAACATACTTTTTAATTTTTGGGCCTGGTGGAAGATATCACGTATATTCAAGTCAAAAGTCCAAGTGAAGTCACAAGTCACAAGTCTAAGTCGAATCTAGTTGCAAGTCTTTGTTGATTTTTTTAAATAGTCATCAAATTTGTGACTCGAGTCTGACTAGAGCCTAAGTCATGAAACTAAAGCCCACACCTCTGATTATGGCATTAGTGTCAATATGTGCCAGTCCATCCACCAGAAATGTAAAAAAAAATCTTGTTGTACGGACAAACAGACGCAGACAGACAGACTGAATAAATTATGACATACATGAAGCATGTGACTTAAACATTACTCAAGCTTCCAGTGAAGAGCAGAAAACATCAGATTTGTGTGGAGTCATGAGGAGGCTGTAACCTTCCTCACATTAATGCAGACAGAAACATTCTGTCAAAAACATTGACTGGTTTCTCTTCCTCTGTGATGGTTTAATGGCTCTCAACAGGAGAATTAGCTCCATTAACCAACTCCTCATATTCAAATACCAATAGTGGATGGAAACACACCTTAATTTGCATTTTCCTTCGCTGATTTTCTTGAAATTTGGTTAAAATATGCTCTATATATGGATGGAAACGTGACTATTGATGGTAGCTGAAAAAGGATTCCAGAAAATGACGCTGTTATATTCAATTAGCGCTGCAATAAAGCAGTTAGCTGCCGAACACACACCTGCACTGGTAGCCTCCTCCGGTGGTCTGCCCCCTGCAGGAGGAGCAGGGAGGAGTGGAGCAGGATGGAGCTCCAGGCAGGGTGGAGGAGGAAACCTCGGGGACCTGCTGGGCCTCCGCTCCTCCTACTGCTGCTGCCTCCCCTCTGCCTCCCCCTCCTCCTCCCGCTCCTCCTCCTGCTCCTCCCAGGGGCTTGTGGATGCAGCACTGTCCAGAGAACTCCCGGCAGATCTTCTCCACCGCCTCGCGAACCACCTGGTCCTTAAACTGTAGGGATGAAAGGAGGGAGAGAGGGGGTTACATCTGTTCGATGCTTACTCATCAGTCCATGTCTCAGTCAGTTGCTCCAGCGGTAGTTTTATGTAGCCAAGCCTATCTCCACTCTTTGTTTTAGTGCTGTGTCAGCCCTGCAGAAGAGGTCCGGCTGAACCCAGTATAATTCAATAAAACACGCTGGCTTTTATGCATGTCTCTAAACCAATCACTTTGTGCTAAACCTAGGATGCAGCCACGGTGCGCCTGACATTAAAAGGGCTACATCCCCACAGAAGAAAAGGCAACCGTTAACTTGTTTATGTTTGTACTACTCCTGTACAATGGATATTATACATTTTATTATATAATTACATTCAATTGTGAAAATGAATTAAATTAATTAAACATTCAGTTGTGGGCGGAAAAAAGCAGCGCTAGCCTTGCGAGCTAGGTCACTTTTTTTTTATTGAAAAAGAAATGTAGGTCAAACTGAAATGAGAGAATAATTCAACAACAACTACTAATGATGCCAGAAAGTTTACAACCCAACTCAGCCACAGAGAGAGTGATTTGCTCTCCGATCAATCAAAAAAAAAAACGTTTTAGAATTTATTCAGTATCCAACAACCATAACAGGAGCTACATTGGCCACTGGGGGCTGGATAACTACAGCAGCTAACAATTTAACTTCCAATGGCGCAGAACCGTGCTTTCAAATTCGAGCCTCACACCCACGACGGCAAAAAAACTACATTTATTACATGTACCATTATCATTAAAGGCAGAGGACTAGCTAAACGTTTAACACACAGGGCAACAAAAAGCAGGACAGCGAGAGAGAGAAGCTATCGCTAACTGCTAGGCTAAAGTACTGTAGCTAGCGGAACTGAATAGCGTGTAAACAACTGTAGGATTAAGGAAAAAGTTGCTAAACATAGAGAGCTACGAGTGCTTGAGTGGAACTAGTGTTCATTTAGATGTATAGCGGGTAATTATCCGCTCTAATGAAGAATATAACAAATTTAACTGGGTTGAGCTAAGGCAGCAAAATTCGCTACCAGCAACACAGAAGTTCTCAACTGACGTATGATATGTTGAAATGATACGCTGACCGCAGCACTTCAGAGGGGGGGTCATGTCTTTTGGTCAGTTTGGTCATAGATGTTATGTACACCTGTGTAAGACATTTTTGGCTACAAATTTTGCCAGCACTAATTTGTACCGTTAGCAACCAGGTTAGGGTACCTTGCCATGTGCAGCATTTAGGTTGTTAGCTCAGAGTGTGTTGTTGTATCACGTAGCATCAAGGAGGACTTTGAAAGCGGTATCAGGAAGATTGCGGAAGAGGGGGAGAATGGCGACCGAATTAGTCGCCCAACGGCAGTCTTCTACCAACCCAAGTTGTGCTTCAGGACACTGGTCACCTCAATCTGGTTGTTCTTACCTTCTCCATGTAAGAGGTGAACCAGGCTGGAGGAGTCTTGTCCTCTTCTTTGGTTCCCTTTACTTCTTTCAGGATCACCTGATCAACAGAAGAAGAGAATATTTATTACGCAAATCATCGCAGTACAAGCATTAGTTGTATATTCAGTGTGGTTAGTTAGCTGTTATTCTTAACATGGATTTAACCTCCATTTATATACTTTGAATGTTTCCTACTGTTCCTCCCTATACGCGATGGTAAGATTCACAGGTTAGCATCAGTGAATAAACATAAAGTAAAAGAGAGTAGAAGCATTTTTGGTCCTAAATTCCCTTTTAACACGATTACTATGAATGATTCTGAGATGCTTGATAAACACGGGCACTCGGGTTTGGCTAATAAATGAAGAACCAGCTCTTTCCAAGAACCTGCTAAACCAACCTGTCAAAATATGTAACTCTGTATATAGAAATACGGCTGATTCTCTAGCAGTGGGAGAAAGCAAACCAACCAAGGAATAACAGCTCTGTCTGACCAAGGCCCTCCAGTCTCCCACATCTGTATGTTTCCTCTCTCCTTGTCAGTTATGCTCTCCTAGACAAAACTTGCACAAATCAATGCTTTTAAGCTGTGATACTGGGCTGAGGTGAGCTCAGCCATAAAATATCAATGAATAGGCCTTCACGCTGCTATTTCTTTGCTTTTTAAAACTATGGTTAAATGAAAACACTAGATTTCATCTTTCTAATCACTACAAATACTTGAATAGAAAAAAAGAGGTAAGGATGCCAACATTAGCATGAATGTTAGGACAAAGAAATATGTGCAACCATTTACATTTTTTATTATGGTTTCTGAGGCACTGAGTCTGGGTTTGTGTATAAGGAAATTATGACAATTCTTGTTTGTCTGTAAAGTTTTGACTTAACAAAGAGTCTGGGTGAATCTGGCTGAAATGAGCACTTTATGACAAGGATTTATGGGTAGGAGAATCTGGTGAATCTGACTTGGTGTCTTACCATGCCCTGTTCTGGCACTGCAGCCTGGACTTTCCGGCTGACCACCTGGGCCAGAGCGGGGCAGTGCTGTGGAGGTCTGAAGCCCCTCTTGGGCTCTGTTCCGCTTACTTTAGTGGTGGGGACTCTTGCTGGCTGACCCCGAGTCTCGTACACGTTCATGTGCAGTCGGTTCCCCTGCCTTGCTGCACTCTGGGAAACAAGTAAAACGGGTTAATCTTCCCTACTGCCATTTTTGGATCAATTTTGGATCGATGTCTCAACTAAGCTGTGTCTTTCTTCTGATACCAACAAAAATACTTTCCAAGACAATTCCTAAAGCATCGCAGCATTTAGCACCTGTGGACAATTACAATCTGTCCAAAATAAAGGTTAACTTACATAACCAATGGCCATACTTTATAACACTGATCAAACCAAGAGATTTGTTTGTTTTTACTTTAATTAGGACTGAGGTTACCATTTAAAGTTGACTTTTTAATGTACACAGAGTTAGGGAGTTAGGCAACCACGGCAGAGCCGGAACGCGTCACGGCCGTGTCTGGTGGAATTTGGAGGTAAGACAACACTAAATGTGAATACTAATTTAAACTTTAAATCAACTTACCTTTAATGCCTCCTCATACTCCACTGAAATAAAAGCAGAAATATGAATTATTAACATGACATGAATCTGCATATTGCACAAACACTGGTTTTGTTCACCACACTGTGTCTTATTACTGTTTATGTTTACTTACCTTGGCTGTTAATGGACACCTGAAAGGGAGAAAGAGGAAGAGTCTTAATAAATCTGTCAGCTATGTCACTGTGGTGTCAGTTTGCTGTTGGTTTGGTGATACAGGTTCAGGCATTAAAAGGGGCATTCCACCAATTTTATTCATATGAAGCTCAGTTTACCCATCATGGTTAGTAAAACTCAGCTTGTGAAATTGGTTGTCTATGGAGGAGCTTCGTCAAGTCTGAGAAAATAACCCCGATGATGTCATTGTGATGTCACCAAGGTTATCTCAGCCTTGGTTTGTAAACTTCAAAATAATACAGACGGTAACTTGGCATCTAACAGGCAGGGAGAAAGACGCCTCTGAGTTGTAATAGGAGAAATGTAGGATCCAGCATTTTTTGCTCAGCAACAATCTGACAATTCTTTTTTAATATATCTCTTGTAAGTCCTCAAACTTTATGGATGTGCAATATGAAATTGTTGGAGTAGCCCTTTAAAATAAGAGGAAAGGAAGTACTGTAGAGTACGACTGAGCAATTAAAGTCAAATAAAAAAGTAACCGAAACCGACATTATGACTCTTTAATCCACATAATTTTATCCATATTGATATGTACGATACATGAATTCCTTCCTACAGGCTGCCACCTACCACTTAAGATTAAAAAATCTAACTCTACAGGCCTTAATACACAGCCAGTCAGAGATGGAGCTGTGCAATATGTAATATATATTGCATGATTCCATTGTTTGATATTATGCTCTATTGTTTATTTCTTTATGTCACAAATCACTCTTTACAGCAATATTGTTTGTCATTTGGATGATGCTTTGTGTTCTTCCACACGGCACAGATGCAGGCAGGAAATTTGCATGAAGGCAACAGAAAAAAACATGGTTGAAGTATGAAAAGTTATGTATTATCTTATTTATTTTCTTCATGTAAAGCATGTTTTTACAAAGGAGATTCCTTAAGACAGAATATTATGAAATTTGGTTTGATGTGCATCTATTGTGGGGGTCCTAGTTTGGGAACCCCTGGTATATTAATCATTATTGGTGTAAATGTGAGAACAAGTCGTGATACTGATTGTAGGTGACATTGCTCTGACTCACTGGAAAGTGTACAAACAAAGCCGGAGCGACAACAAACACTCACCTCCTCGTTCTCCTCATCAAAATAGGTCAGCTGGAGACTGCACAGGCCAAAGGAGCGCTTCACCTGCACGCCACAAACACACAGAAAGGAGATCAGGTAAGGGGGGAGGATGATGGCTCAGCTGTCCTTTTTTAAGTTGAGAGACATGAATATAATGGTCTCTATTTCAGTCATTTCAATTAGGTTGAACTCAGTGACACTGACTGTGTGTGTGTGTGT